TTTCTGGCGTCGTTGATCAAACATGATCCTTTACCCATAACACATTGTGTACGATTTTTTGGTGGCTGAAAAAAATAGCCGTAGCGTAGAGTTAAGAGCGTCGGTGACTTAGGGGTCAAGCACGTGACTTGCGATCCGCAGGTCGTGGGTTCGAATCCCGCCATGTACCAATGTGTTTTTCGATTTCCGATTTACATATGTACATTTATCCGACGTTCTTACGGTAAAGGAAAACATCGTGATGCAACCTGCACATATCTGAGAAGAAATTCAAAGATATGTGTGAAATCAACCAACACGCACTTGGCTAGCGTGGTTGACTATGGCCTAATCACTCTTAACTTAGAGTAGGCTCCGAGCCCCTCGGTGGGAACTTGTAGTGAGCTGATGATGATGATGCGTAGAGTAAAAAAAGTAATAGATTTAATTAATTATTTCTTAATTTTTTGACTATTCATTAACTTTTAATTTTATTTTTACTTCAAGAAGCAATGTTGCAATACCAAAGTGTATATAGAAAGACACACTAAATAAAATAATGTAAACTAGTGAAAATTTACCTTTAAAAAAAAAACTGTTTTTAATATCGCAAAATTCTTTGGCATCACAACATTTTGGCAAAATTTGTTTAGTGAAGAAATAACTTACTTCTATAAGCAAAACCGAGGTAAAAATAACTCCAAAAAGCAAAAATAAAGTATACATGGTGTTCAATTCTGAAAATGCAAAATTTTTTATAATTCTATGGGTAATCTCAGATTAAAAAAAAACTAATCATAAAATTAAAGTAAACTTACAAACAAAACAAAGTTTAAATTTTCTCCATGTCTGATTATTTTTAAGAACTGGTTAGGAAATGAACACTTATAAGTTAGTGGAAAAAGGCATACCAAATTATTGTGTTCTTTTTTAATTAATCTAGCTCTGACTGTGTTTTTTAATTTCGACGTAAATTACATACTAATTTTATTGATTGCATAAGAGTAGTTAGAACAAAATGGAATTTTTTGTATGGATGTCTGCTACCAATTCGTAAATACAGTGTAAACTTGTACGTCACTCGATGTAACGTCGAACTCCTTAATACGTCGAAATTGATTGACTTTGGTTAGTTTCCTATATATTTATAATAATAATAATAATAATGCGGGATTATGTTGTTGAATTCTCTACGATTTGCACCTGTGTAAATTCTTTTGTTTGCCGTTTTTTAACTTTATTCCCAGTGTATACGAGTAACATAATTCTAGGGAATTTGGGCTATATTTTTGTTAAATGACCACGAACGACGACGAAACTTTTGCCAAACTGGCACAAACACAGTTGCTTTTATACTTTTGAATTGTAAATATGGCAAAAGTTCTTTGTGTAGTGATGAAAAAGATTTAATCGCCTCAATGAAAAGCAGCAGAAGGGACAAATTAGTAAATGAAAGTCATTATAGAATAGAAAAATAATATATTTTTCGTCACTCGGTATAACGTCCACTCTATATAACGTTGCGAATCCTTGATGCCTTGTGCAACTAAACTTGAACTCAA